CGAATCATCCAAGAAACAAATGTATTTAATCTCTGACGCTGTCTAACTGTGAATGTGACACATTTTTGTTACGCTACGTAATTTCGTCGAATCTTTCTATTTTTGAATCGTGCCTGAAATAGTTTTTCATCAAGTATAGCTAAAAACCCAAAAATTAACAATTAATTTTTATATTTATTTAGTAAGACCAATGGATTACAATCTAAAATATTTCGAATATTTTAAATTTCATAAAGTCGTGGAAAATTATAAAGAATAATGTTTTGAAATACGGTATTCATATACTCAAATACATATTCCATTATTATTTGTGATTTATGGCAAGTGACCAAATTAAACAAAAATGCGAAATGAATTATTGGATGACTTTCATGCAGACATTATATTCAAAAGTGCATAAATTTGTAATTAAATTTTGATATAGAAATGAATACCAAATGTTTGTTATATGCCAATTAATTTTTGTGATATTTTTGTTCCATTTATTTTTATAATATGTATGCTTTATTTTAAAATGATTTTATTTCAAAGTTCCTACAAAAAGTTTTTTTTTTATTAGACATACTTGAGTATTAATGATTATTACTTGATTACAAGTATATTTAGATTTATTTTGCCAGTCATATTTGAAAGTACTTAATAAGTTTTGATAGGCAGAGTGGTTTTATGTTTGCTCTTAAATAATTCAAAACCCCACAGCTGAGTTGGAGCAATATTTTTATTTTTAATAGTCACTTTCATCAGTTTCAAAAGCTCAACTCTCATTTGCTATAACTTCATGAAAATTATTCGAAGGATTCACTTTCTAATATATAAGACTGGCATAAATCAAAAGTGACAAATAAGTCATTTAAGGCGACGGATCGATTTGAAATGTTATATTCATTTAACACCAAATTGAATGATATTAAAGAAAATCGTTGACTCAAGGAAAGATCAAGCGTAGCGAATGTTATAACTCGCTACAAATTAACAATTAATTACTTGACACAACATTTAAAAGTATAGTCTTTCAGATATATTTTACGAAAGTTTTCGAATTCTTTCTATCGTTTTCAAATTGCTTGTTATACGAGTATACTGTAATATGTTACGATTTCGATTTTCAAACACAACCCAATAAAACTCTTACTATATAGCGAAGATCGAAAGCGATGCGTTTCTTAATCTACATTTGGCAAAATTAACAAAAATGTTTTCATAATCTGTTCTACGTAACCGGATTTTGAAAAGGAAAATAATAATAACTATTTTTATAATTGAATCAATTTATTTGCAAATTATTCGGCACGTTTTCCTTTTTTTGAATTTATCGAGTGAAATAAATATAAAAGCAGTTATATTACGATATAAACACAGACTTAACAGCTTTTTTAAGATAGTTAATCAGAAAAAGCTTTTGATATACATTTTGTCTCCAAACTCAAATCTCATGAATTTTCAAACCTATCTGTTAGTCATTTCATAAAATTTTCTTAGACAAATTTTGTTAAAAATAAACTAAAAATTTATTTTATTATAAAAAAAAAGATTTATAAATAAAATGATGGCGGTTACTCATTTGCATATGTGTACATTTAGGTATTACATATTTGCGTGTGGATGTTATGCAAATTGGTGAAAACGCCAGCCGGCCAAGAAGTGTGTCTATTGTTTAAATGTATAAATCATAGCTGCACATATATATTTAGGAAATATTATTATATTAGATATTATTTCAAATACGCTTCTAAATCACAAACATTTCTTTTGGATTCTCACACTTATGCAGTATACAAGTATATACATATACATAAATACGTGTGTATACGAGTATATCATGTGTATTTGCATACCGCTTAATTTGCGAATCATAAATAAAAATAATACATATTTATGAGGGTGGATAAACAAACGAATGTTATTTTTTCCGCGCGCATTCAATTTTCTGCAAAATCTTTGTAATGAAATATGTTTTCAAGTAGTTGGAAGCGAGTTATAAGCTCTTCTATCTGATAATAAGAAACAAATGGAAAATTGTATGGCGGAGGACCTTCCCGTTACAATTAGAGCTCATACGTGGAGAGCCTTTCTTAAGAGTGTCTATCAACTAATTTTTCAGAGTACGAAGCAAAAAAAAAAAAAATACGCTTTTTGTTATCCACCCTAATAGATATGTATAATTTTAACTTATAAACTTTCATATAAAAAATGTGTTTTCCACCACTAATTCCATAAGTTTTATCATAGAAATTTATTTATAGTTTATGAGGAAAAAAATAAATAAATAAAGTTAAAACAAACAAAAAAAAAATTTAAAATGTTCCAATATTTTTTCGTGTATTCTGTGAACAAATAATAAAAATTTTGCTTATTCTTAAATATGGCACATATATGTTATTCATATATTAGTTGTTGTTGATTAAATTGTCATCCAATTCCATGCATGTGGTTTTGAGGTTATATTATTTTACTTAAAAGTAGTTTGCATAAAAACCACAAAATTTAATATATGCGTAGCTTTAAGTAAAGGGTATTTTGAAGCTGAGCTAAAACTCTAAGTTTAGAAAAGTTTAAAACTTATTCAATAATTATTCTTCTTTTATACGTGTTTTTTGATTAATTTTATAATGTTTAATATTTAAAAATACGTTTCACAAAACATCTCTACCTAAACCGCAAATCTTGTTTTTTGTTAATTAAAAAATTGCATAAAGAAATTTAAATGTATCCAAATTCATCAATCAGCATCCTCGGTTGAATGTTAAATTTACTATATTTCCACTACCGTATTGGAAAATTAAAAAAAAAAAGATTCGGCTGTCAGAATTAAACAGACTCCGTGTGACAGTCAAAAAAGCAATTTTTGGGAATTAAAAAAAAGAAACTGAGAAAAATCGACGATCGCGAATTTTATATACATATATGGTATACATATGTACAACATGTAACATATGTAGGACTATGTATGTATTAATTTCCAAGGTAATTTAATATTCATTAATTATTATTTAAGTATATAAATGGGAGTGATTTTATTTCTATCTTAGCATAAAAAATCCAATTTTTGATGTAGTTTGTACTTGAAACGATTAATATCAACTTTTGTCTATCACTAATAAATTTGTATAACATCATTTATTAAAGTAAAGCCTGCTTAAAATCGTGCCAATCAACTTTCCTTAAGCCCCTTTTTGATTATTTGGGGTGTAATTCTAGATATTTTCTTTTGTTATATCTCGGCAATCGCTTGAGGTTTCATTGATTTAATAATATAATTAGAAATTCCTAAAAGCCGCTTTAGAAATTTTTAGGTTAATAGTAACAAAAACAAGCTAACATCTTTTGATAATATTAAGTGATCGTTAAAAATGCTTTAATTTTCTATAGAAAGGTCCTAAGATCACATAAACTAGCACTTTAAAATTTTAGAACCTATCAAGTGAGTCAAAAGAAAAAAGTCGAGGGAAATCAGATTGACGTTTTCTAAAAAGCAAAAAAAAACAAGTAAGGAAGGGCTGAGTTCGGATGTAACCGAACATTTTATACTCTCGCAAAGTCAAATGGTATACTCGTTTGGGATTTCTTTGTGGATTGACTGATATTTTCGGTAGAAGGTCAACTATAGGCATTAGGGTCCACATATTTAGTACTTAGGGGCTTAAACAGTTTTGGTTCGATTTAGACAATTTTTGGCCGCAAGGTGGGATACTTTAATTGCATTATTCACGCAAAGTTTTATCCCGATACAGTCATTGTTGCCTGATTTGCATAGTGGAAAGTGAAAGAATCAGATGGAATTTAAAATGGTGTTATATGGGAAGTAGGCGTGGTTTTAGTCCGATTTCGCCCATTTTTGCACTATAATATAGATATATGAGAAGAATGTTACATATCGAATTTGGTTGAAATTGGTTAAGCAGATCCCAAGATATGGGTTTTCACCTAAAAGTGGGCTGTGCCACGCCCACTGTTTAATTTTGAACGCAGTTCCTATAAAGCCATCTCATACCATCTCAGAGATAAAATTTAATGTCCCTGCCGTGTTTAGTGCTTGATTTATCGCGCTTTTAGTAGTTTTTAACAGTACCGTTATATGCGGAGATTTTCACACCGTCAATAGAAGTGCTAAAAACATTTGGTTCCAGTGAATTTTGTTATTATAGCATTAGCGGCTTAGGAGATATACACATTAAACCTATTAGAGGCGGGACCACGCCCACTTTAAAAAAAAAAATTTAACTGCAGATGCCCCTCCCTAATGTGATCCTGTGTACCAAATAACAGTCTTATATCTTAAGTTATGGCAGTTTATTTGTTTTTGATTAATGGCGTTTTGTGGGCGTGGCAGTGGTCCGATTACGCCCATCTGCAATACCAACCGTCTCACGGTACCAAGAAACATGTCTACCAAGTTTCATAAAGATATCTCAATTTTTACTCAAGTTAGAGCTTGCACGGACGGACGGACGGACGGACAGACAGTCACCCGGATTTCAACTCGTCTCTTCATCCTGATCATTTATATATACATAACCCTATATCTAACTCGATTAGTTTTAGGTGAACAAAACTATTATACTCTGTAGCAACAGGTTGCGAGAGTATCAAAAAGGGAACTTTAATCTCTAACTTTGTTTTCAAACAGAAAAGTTCTTTGAGATTATTTCAGTGAGAAATAAGGCAAATAAAAATGTATTTTCGTATAATAAACGTATAATAAAATTTATGAAGCCTATCGCTTTTGAAGAGATTGGCTCACAAGACATATTTCACATATCAAACAACAACAATATGTGTATATGAATCTGATATGCTTATATTGACATATACACAAAATGAAGGTGAAAAAATGATTTAATAAATTATAGTTAAATATTAAATTCTAAAAATAAACAATTATTTATAAACAGTGCACATGCAGATGAATAATATTGACTTCGGCGAGAAGCAGAGATTTTGAACATACAATTTTTCATAACGCAAAATCTAATTTTATATATAGAAAAAAAGCCATTTGCCAATTTTAAAATTCAGTTTCGCACTCCCTTATATTTTTTGTATCCTTAGAACTTAATTGCTAGAATCAACCACAATTTTCCATACAGTTTTTTATAAAAATAATTTATTAAAAGTAATAAAACTAAAATTATAAAACACATTTTTTTCTAAATAATTTTTGTAGTAAAAGCGCATTATTATTAACTATTGTATGAAGCTTTTTATAGCGAAAGTCTTTAAAAAGTTGGTTCCCAGTAGACGCTTGGCTTCACCTTGGTCAGTGTGCCTTCGTTACTAATATAGATGGCACCATTGTCCCTCAACTCGACGACTTGAGCCAAATGTGCGCCACACACTTCTGGTTTCTGTGTTTTGCAGTGGTTCAGCTTCTCGCCAATCTCCTTGGAATAGTCGAAAGTATATTTGGTGGCAACGTTGTTCTTCAATGGCGTATCGGTCAAACCGGGACAGAAAGTGACCACCGCAATGCCCGTATGTTCATAATAGTGGGGATCCTAAAATAATAGTTAAATGCTAGTTATTTATAATAGTTTTTAGTTAATAGTAGTAAAAAAGCAATAAATAAGAAATATATATTTATAAACAATATAAAATAATATTGTGAAAAATCTATTATTATGCGCCACTCACACCAAGTGAACGAGAGAAACCCATAACACCGAATTTCGATGCACAGTAGATGGCGGCGGGTGGTCCGGGCTCCAAACCCAACACGGAAGCAATATTGACAATCACGCCACCGCGTCCCTTCTTATTCTTGTCCATGAGTGGAATTGCCTCTAGCGTGGTATTGATAAGACCAATCAAATTGATGTTCATGGTCCACTCTACATTGGGATCGTTGAGTATGCCGGCGCCATTGACGAGTACATCGATGTATTGCACCTTGGCGATAACATCAGCGAGTGATTGCTTAATGTTATCCTTGCTGGTAATATCGAACTTGGTATAGAACACTTTGGTCTTGGGATTGATTTCTTCTAAGGCCTTCACAGCTTCCGGTTTGTCCAAAATATCGAAAACAAATAAGGACTAAGGAAGAAAAGAGACGAATCGTAAATTTGAACTTTACTTTTGATTTATATTAATTAAAAGTTTATTTTTATTGGTGAAAAAAAACAACAATAATAAAATAAAATTAGTGTAAACAATAGATATTTTGATTTGTTTTCCACAAATACCTTAAATCCGCAGTTATTTAATATAAATTTTTTAAACTTTCAGTTTTGTTAATTGTTTTTAGATTTTTGTGTAACTACTTTTTTATTTTTTCAAATGCTTAATTTTTTTCAAAAAAAACACTATAAAAATAAAATTAGAGTGGAAAATAAAAAAAAAATTCATCAATTATTTATATTTATTTTTATTAAAAGAATTTATATTCGTTTTATTAAACTTTAAATTTTAATTTTGGTAAAGTTTTTCCCACAAATAATTTAAGCCCGCAACTTCTTTATTAATTTTTTTAACAAAAATAGTTTTTTCCTTACTTTAAGATTTCTGCATTACAGAATTCTAAATATTATACTAATTTTTAATACAAAATGATTACGTCAATTTTTTTAAGAAATATTGTATTATTTTTTAATCATGGAAAATAATTTTATTATAAACATTAAATGCAAAATTTCCACACTTCCACTTTTCCTCTATATTATAGAAAAAAGATTATATAAATTTTCATTCCGTGATTTTTTACTATTTTTTCCATCAATATTCAAGCAAAATTATTTTTAAAAAATTTTAAATTTTTTTGCGAAAATATTTAAACTGTTTACTACTGTTATACACAACATCACAATTCTACTTAATACCTTTTAAACTTTTATGTCTAAAAAAATATATAAAACTAATTTTTTTACTTTTTATTAATTTTGTTGTATAATTTTTTTTTTTATTCTCAGCATATTTCAAAAATATTAGTTATTCAATTTGGTTTTCTTCATCACTTTATTATTTTGGTAACTTCCGCTCATTTACTAACTATTCTTATCGTTTTATTAATTGTTATTTTATTTCTATGATTATTTTTTTTTTATTTTTATAAATTTTTAAAGTCAGTTTACAATTTTCACAACTCTTTTTTATAACTTTTCTGTCTTACCGCCAAATCTCTGGTTATCAACGTTTTGCAAGCCTCATAACCAATGAAGCCCAAGCCGCCGACAAAAACAACATTTTTACCCGCCAAACTCATGTTTAATAAAAGTTTAGTTAAAAATCGAAAAACACTGCAATTTGAAGCAAAACACTTTCCTACAACTGTTTGCCCAGCGACTGTGATGAGACTGAGCATTCTGCCGCGTTTTTATATCCAAATCCTCCCGGCGCGTGTACAGGCTCGCTCGCGCATGTCACGGAGCTTTCGATACGAAAATGGGGCAGACGCCAATTAAACACGCCAATAAGACACATTAACATAGCTTTCGTTGCTTCAAAATACCCCACACAATATTGCTGCAGAAAATGTTTGCCTTAAAATAAGTTCTGCATACTTTTCTACAACAAAGTAGTGAATGTAAATATATAAAAGTATGTATGAATCTATATAACTACAAACACGCTTAGATATATATGTATGTATATACATATGTATGTACATACGAATATAAGTCAAGCAATTGTCGAGTCATTCTATAATTTGGCCTTTGAGAACTTTGATATTTCTCATGTTTGTTGTACTGATTTTTTTTTTATATCTTTTATTTACATTTAATATAGAACATTTCTAATCACTTTCGAATTTGCGCTAATGTCAATATTTTTTGGTTTAGTCGCCGGCGTTTTGTTGACTTTTATTACTAATCACTTTTGATATTTACTAATCGCAATCTCTCAGCACACTTATGTCAACAAACACAACAAAGTTGATTTTTTTCTCTTTACCTATACAATAAAGTAAAATTATAAAGGTAGCTATGCATTTGATTTGGAACTTCACTCTTACATCTAGAAGTGGCTTTGTTATTTTTGCATAACAGTACTTTTACATTAACCTTAAATTCTGTTGTTAGAAATATATATATATATATTTCAGAGGAATATTTAACGAAGATCGATAACATATTCCTGTGAAGAATTCAACTAAAGCTAGATCTGATTTTTCAACTCAAATACTTTCTTTTAATCATGTTCGTGTAAGATAATTAATTAGTAAATGTTGTAATTACTGAATATTATCTCTCAAGATATGATCGAGAGTGATCAGAACGAATAAAATGTTTACTAACTGACTTAACTGTTGGTGTTTTAAGAAACATTCAGAATATTAACATATTACTAAGTGGTAGTGGGTAGACAGAAACTGGTCTAAAACAAGAAGAAATAAGCATTGGCTGCATCGAAGCTGTAATAACCTTCACAAGTTTATTTCTTATAGCATAAAAAGGTATACAAATATATTTATTTTTATTCTGATCGTTCAGTTTGTATCGCAGATATATGCTATAGTGGTTCGATATCGACGGTTTCGACAAACGAGCGGCTTCTATGAGAAGAAAGGACGTGTACGTCGATGTCTCAAAATGAGACATGGATATGGCTTATTCGACTAAGATCATTGCGCTGATCATATATATATGTATATATTTTATAGGCCCACCCCCCGCTTGCTACATATTCTCCTTGGCTACCAAGTGGGGTTGAAATTGGAGTTGGGCGTAATCGGATCACTGCCACCCCCACATTTATTGTTATCAGAAAGATGTGCAGTGCGGAAAACTTCCGAGTACCAATTGGCATAATATTTTTATTCTATATGCTTGTTCTTAAAAATTTCACTAATCATTTATCTTTCAATATTTATAAAATTTTATTGAAAGCATTATCTACCATATATTTCAATTATCAAGTTCTAATATAAATTATTTATTCTAATTTGTAACAATTATATTTGATTTATTTAATTTGTAACACATATAATCAATAAAAAAACTCGTCATTAACTTGCTTGATAAGAAAATATATTATTAATTGCTTTAAATGCGTTTATATATTTAAATAGTTCATTATTGCATATTTTTAAAGCTATTAATATTGTTTTTGTTGTATTTAATGCACTGCTTAATTGTCTCTAGTGAAATGAAATTGTCTTGCCGCTTGCTAAGTTTCCTCTACCAGCAGCGGATGCTCATTTTTTGTTATTAGCTAAGCATACGGATACATTGTGTGAAATTAAGTAAAACCCAACAATGTTATTGCAAATGACGTGAAATAAATAAATATATATTAAAGAGTTATCAGCAAAGATCGGCGTCGCTGGGGTTAATGTAGTCGAATCTAATTAAGTAGGTAAAATGTTGTTATTAATTATATATAGATTACATATAATACTTGGAACATCTAATTTAGAATTTAATGTCAATTTTCTATAAATATCTGTTAATATATGTATATATGTATTAGGGTGGAGCGAAATTTTTTTTTTCATTTTTTTGCTTAGCCTGATGGTAAAATCTGTAGATTATATTAAAAGAAAATTTTTGCACAAAAAAACATAATTTTTAACATCTAGAGGCTGCGCACTCAGTTTCAAAGTAAATTTCGAGTAAAAATTTTTATTGGACAAGAAAAAAATCTTTTTACTTTAAACTCTTTACATTTATATAAAAATTACCGAATGTGACGGTTTATATAAAAATTATCGAATGTGACGGTTTATATAAAAATTACCGAATGTGAAGTTTATTTTAACACTTAAGGAAAGCATGTTGTCGTTTAAGACTTTTTTTAAAACTCAAATTATGACCACAAAAAATTTTTTTAGGTTAATAACTTTTAATCGTTTAAAAAGAGGAGTCTTCACAGCTTCTAGAGAACTTATCAAAAAATTTTTACAACATTTTTTTTTGTCCAAAAATTTTCTTCTTTTATAATCTACAGATTTTACTCTTTTACTACAACAACAATAACAACACAATTCAAAGCAAGTTTTACTGAAAAACTAATGAACTTTTATTCAATTCAGACTTTTAACTTGTAAACTAAATAACATATATATACTTACTTATACGTATGTACATATTTACATGTATATACAATATTAAAAATTATCGCAGATGTTGCCTAAAAAGCCTAGTTGAATGTGGGTTGCCAGTAGACGGTCGGTGTGACCTTGGACAAAGTGCCTTGGTTGCTAATATAGATGCCACCATTCTCGGCTGTATCGAGCACCTGAGCCAAATGAGCGCCACAAGCTTCGGGTTTCTGCGTCTTGGTGTTGTTGAGCTTATCACCAATCACCTTCGAATATTCGAAGGTGTATTTAGTGCAATATTGTTCTTCAACGGCGTTTCTCAAACCGGGACAAATGTGGCTACCGCAATACCGGTAAGGTTGTAATAATAAGGATCCTGATAAGAGATACAAGTAAGTAGAGCAAAATTGTTTATTAGGAGCAAAGGTAAATATTGTAGGTGGGTGTGCAGTTTACTACGGAAATTGAACGCGAGAAGCCCATAACACCGAATTTAGATGCGCAGTAGATGGCGGCGGGTGGTGCGGGCTCCAAACCCAACACGGAAGCAATATGACAATCAGCCACCGCGTCCCTTCTTATTCTTGTCCATGAGTGGAATTGCCTCTAGGTGGTATTGATAAGACCAATCAAATTGATGTTCATGTTAACTCTACATTGGGATCGGTGAGTATGCCGCACCATTGACGAGTACATCGATGTATTGCACCTTGGCGATAACATCGCGGATGCCGACTTAATGCTCGCCTTTTGGTGATGTCGAATTTGGTGTAGTAGACTTTGGTCTTGGGATTGATGGCCTGCAGAGCCTTAATATTCTCGGCATTTTCCAAAACGTCGAACACGAAGAAGGACTGCGAGGGTTGAAGAAATATTTTTAAGTTAATTTATTATATAATGTTCTTATATTAAATTATAAACCCATTATTTTCGATAAACACTCGATAATACGCGTAAGTTTCTCTCGTCAACTCACCGCCACATTCTTGGTCATAATCTGTTTGCAGGCCTCGTAACCGATGAAGCCCAAACGCCAACGAAAACGACATTTTTGCCGCTCAAACCCATTTTATCGAATACCCTTATTCACTTTGCTTACAGGTGCTTAATGTTTGTTTCTATGTCGAGCCAATTCGCAACTAATGCTATTTCGAAACGAAAGTTGCGCTTTTATAGTCCAGCAGCCGAAACCGAAAGCTGTAGCAAGAATACTGACATTTCAATTGTAAATTATCAATCCCTAAATATAATAGATGGCTTGAGTATTCTCAGCTGATATGAATGTGGAATACGATTCTAGTCAAATCATCCAATCGTCGCCAATACATACGTACAACATTTATATAAACATACCTAGCCATACATACACAGTATGGGTGCGTTAGAGCGAGTGTTAGAAGATTTCAAACTATTCAAAACAACTTAGTCATGCTGCTAAATGATAATGGAAATCGAACTCTTCGCGCGTTAATCGTGGCTTGCCAGAACATATGCCTCCTACGTCAGCGATAGACACGCCTATAAAACAAAACGCGATTGCAATAAGAACAAAAAAAATTCACAATTTTTACTTGTCATTCCATCTCAATTTGAGAAAAGTTCAATTTACATCATCTTATTAAATTTGTTTTGATTTTGAAATTTATTTTAATATTTTCGACTGCATCGTGCTGTTATCGCTTTTCGTTGTTTTCTTGTCGTGGTTTTAATATTGTGTTTTACTTGTAGTATGTGCTTTGTTGTAGCTTTTTCGTGTGTGGTTCTTGTTTTTGTAAATGTTTTTGTTCACAAAATATATCTTTTAACGGTTAAGTTTACGAAAAAATCGTTTTAATCTTTTTGAAGTGTATTAAATTTCCTTCAAAATCTATAAAACGAAATATTTTTTCAATTAGTTGGAAGCGAGATATAAATTTTTCAATATCTACAAGGCGGTGGACCAGCTCGTTACAATTAAAAGCTTATTTTATCCATCCTTATATATATAACTCCATATATATCTCAATTAGTCTTATATGATACAAACAACCGTGAGGTGTACAAAACTATTATACTCTCTGTTGCATCATGTTGCGAGGGTATAAAAATTGATTATGTTACATATAAAATTTGGTAAAAATTGGTCGAGTAGTTCCTGTGCTATAGGTTTTCAGCTAAAGTTGTGCAGTACTACGTCCATTGCGCAATTTTGATACCGGCTCCTATGAGAGCCTCATCCATATCATTTTAAATTGAATGTGACAATATTTAAAGTACTTGTAGTATAACTCAAAATTAATCTTGTCATATATAGACATAATAACAGGTGTCATGTTAAACAGATTCATATATTATATTACGTCAATTTAATATCGTGTAATTGGAAATTTGGCAGACCGAAACCTCATACTATTGACTCTGAAATTATAAAAATTTTCCTAACAAAATGTTCTTAGTGCAGTGAGGAAATACTTTTTAGAAAGGCAAACTCAGCGTTAGCGCATTGATATTATTAGTTTATTAAGTGATATATACATTTTTTTTATTAAAGAAATGGATTTATATGCAAAACTAAGTAATTATTCGGATCTAAACTGTCCTCACGTGGCCTTAACTCTGTTTATCTTTCTAAAGATTGTGGTAACTTTCTGCTTGTTCACACCCTAGTTAGTTGTTTCATTTACCACTACTTACCTCCATTGCAATTCGCTTAACGTCCGTGTATTTATTATTATTACTACCGTGTCGCACACATTTTAACATTTACCACATTTACTGAGAATAACTTCTGGTGATTGGGATTAGGTCAGTACCAAACCAAAGTAGCTAATATCCCACAGTTCTC